AACCGCTCCTTCCCTTTATCCAGAGATATCCAGGGAATGCTTCCGTACAGAAGCATTAATGGGTCGCTCCTACAGCAGCTTAAATCCCTCCTGCAAGAAGGGTGGTTCTCATGGAATCAGGCACAGCAGAAATGTTTGCAGGGCAGCGGAGTCTTTGCCCACACAGGTCTTTTTCTGCACTTGTATCTCCTGGAGTTCTGAAATGTGTGCTCAGAGGAAGAATGTGCTATTTCAGCAGTTGTGTTCATTTCCTTCTCGGCTCTTTTCAAAAGAAAATTCTGAGGAGTTGCTCCACTACTTTGTTCCTAAGCCACTTTTTTTGTTTTCCATCTCAATACATAAGAGACGATTTTAAAATTTCAAAGCCAAAGCTGTTTCAAAGACGGCATTCAGAGTATTCAAGAACATAGAAACAAGGGGTTTTTATATCAGCGGGGTTTTTATATCGGCAGGTTTTTTATTCTTTTTTTCCCCTTGAATGGAAATTCAAGTGAATTAACACAGGTTTACAAGTTAATTCACCTTTGACAGACCTGTGTTCTCCGACAGACAGCTGCTCTGTTGAGATACACAGACAGATGTTTTAGTCCTAATTTTAATGATTGTCCCTTGAGTTCATCTGGGTTCCAGTTCAGTTCTCCCTTGTGAATCTTAGTGCAGGCTTTGTGCGTTGTTCGGCAGCTCCTTTATTTATCATCTTCGTACCATTTTGAAGAGACGTTTAGGGTGATTTCTTACGAGGTGGTATGAGTTTTGTGGATGTTTTCTTCTGTCGGAGCTTAAGGTGGAGCAGTCGGACTTGCCGTTGCAGCGAGGCGCAGTGATGCTCTGCCGTCGCTCCTGGGCTTGGGGTCTGCCCTCACTGTTTGCCGCTGGCAGTTCCCGCTTGCCTCCGAGCTGTGGCCTCGCCTTCCCGTTCCTTGTTCCGACCTCTGAAATGCAACATTCTGACCTACAGCTCTTGGGAGTAGGGGAGCTGCAAAGGGACCAAGGCTGTGGTGGCGGAAGGGGAGTGGCAGTTCACTGGCGAGGTGTCAGCTGTTGAAAAATTTAAACTAGTGCTGGCTGCAGCTTCTTCCTTCTCTCTTTTTTACAAATGGCCTGTGGCCTCTGGGCTTGTTCACCTGGGTTATTTTGGACAAAGAGCAGGGCAGGAGGGAGCAAGTATCTCTGATCTGACTCATGTAACGTCAGCAGAGATATATTAATGAGTAAATCCCTCAACTCGAGGTTACTCCTTTTAAACTCTGTGTTTTCTCATCTTTCTCTGCTCTGTAAGTCTCTATCTTCTGCTTGGCTGCTTCCCCTCAAATGTCTCACTGGTGGAGGGACAGCAGGCTTGCCCGTGTCTTCTGTAAGTGCTTTCTCCAGGCTTTCAGCCAGGCTGCTCCCTTCCCTGCTGCAGCATCTCCCTGCGTGGTGCTTGCCCGTCCTGGGCTCATCCTCTTCCTCAGGAGGGAAGAGCAGCCTTTCCTCCACATCTGTGCAGCCAGGGCCGAGTGGCGCCGTGTTTGCCGTTGTGGGACGAGGGCAAAACAAAATGAAGAGGCGTGAAGGCTACAGCGAGCGTTGGTGGGTGTCCGCTCCTGGATATTGTACTTAAGCAGAGCAATGGGGGAGATTACACGGGACTTGGAGTTACGCTTGGCACAGTTTGTTGCCTTTTAGCCTGTCAGAGGTTGGGATTTCCATAGCCAAGGAACAGCATCGGCACAACTCCTCTGAGGCCCGGGAGTGCAGAGACCTTGCAGCAGGCAGCAGGACTGGTGACAGAGGATCCATGTGCTGGAGACAGTGGCAGCAGCGGTTTATACCAGTCCTGGTTTGAGGAATGCTTCCTTATGGGGACACAGAGATACAAGAAGCCGGTATATGGGTCAAATACTGCCTCAGTTAATGCGTTCAGGGGTCCAGTTCGGCTTTTCATGTCTGATGTATCCACTGAGCCCCTGTTGCAAGTAACTGAAGATGGGGAACTTGGTGCTGGTTTCAAGGAGTGAAAGCAGAGATATACTGGCTCCTGAGACATTCAGAGGGCTGAGCCTGGAGGCCAGAAGGTAATAAGAAGAGATTATAGCTCCATAAAGCAGCTACACAATGAGAAGAAGCAATTAGAATGTAAATTGGATGTTGAAAGGTAGAAATAGAACCACAGAACACCAGGCAGAGGAATTTGTGCTGTAATTACACTGTACAATAAACAGCTTTGACTCACTTTAGAGTACTTTGTTCAGGTCGAGTGCTACCGTATAATGCCCTTCCTACAATCTAGAGCTGGAAAAATAAAGGGACGGCTAGGCTGAACCTGGATTAAAGGATTGTAGGCATAAAGAGAAATTAAAGAACCATGATCTGTGCAGTTCACAGACTGCCTGATAAGGAAGATGAGGCTGAAGTGCACAAATCTCATTAATGTGATATTGAATGCCAGTAGATATTTGTGCTTAATAAATGCCCTATTATTATGAAATATGTAAAGTGTTGGGCGGAGGAAATAGAGAGGATTTCTCCACACACCCACCTGTCACCAAGGAAAGGAAGGCCTGAGCCGTGAACAAAGCTAGTAGGTAACATCCAGCATTTTCCTTCCCATAACTCACAGATGTTTGGAGTCAAGGACAGCGTTGGCATTAGCTCGAGAGCGGTTGGTCTAGGCAAATGGTGAGGGAAAAGTGACATGATCATAACTGATCACTGGCATTCACTGGAGCACCTCCTGCTCTTCACATCTCTTCCACGCTTGCAAAGACTGAGCTCTGGCAGCAGTCCTGAGCATGGCAGTGCTCCCCAGCTGCCAGCCCTGAACTCTTTGGGCACAGACAGTCCTTGAGACAGTCCAGTCTACCCTGGTTCTGGCATGTCCTGGATTGCTCTTAGGTATTGGTCCGGTCTGTGGCTATTGCAGTGCCCAGAGCGTGTGGCTGTTGCAGTGCGTGGCCGTTCATCGCCAGGGTTTGTGAATGCCCCAGCACTCAACAGGCAGAGAAGCTCAAATGTGAGAGGACTTAACTCGTAAGGAAGAGAGCACAGACGTTTGGTCACATCATTGCTTGTCTCTAGATCCTTGCTCGTCTCCCTTCCCTCCCAGGTCATTGTCAGACATGAAGGAGAGCGACTTTGCCTTCTCCTGGTTGTTCTGACGGGCAGCCCGGTGCTCTGCCCCGCGTCAGGTCAGCCTGTGTGTGCCTTAATGAGGGATCTCTCTCGTTCATGCTCGGCTGCCTGGAGCTCCAGGGCAGGATTCAGGTCACTGCATGCTGGTGTGCCTAGGCTAGATATTGCCACCTGAGCTGGTCAGCTTGGACTCCCTTTATGATCAGTGAAGAAGGCACTGACTGCAGGTGAGTTCAGAGCATGATGTATTACAAGAGGCATCTAGTTCTGCCGGGGTGAACTGAGTCGCATTCTTAAGCCTGTGTTACACCAGTGAGTGTAAAAGGGGCCCTGAGGGGCGGCTTTGAAGAGAGGTGCATCTAACAGGTGTCCAGAATTAGGTGAGATGAATCCAGATGTCATGAATGAAGGACCTGTTTTGTCTTCTTTTTAATTGCATCCTTCTGTTCAGCCTGGTCATCAGTCTTTCCATCTTTCTCCTTCCTCTCCCACCTCTCTTCATTGTGCACTTTATTGTTGCTTCGCAGCCTATTTGAGAGCACAGTTTCACAGTGAAGCATATAAAGAGCTAGAAAATTTCCTCCAGAGGATGGGGAGAAATTCTAGGGCGCAGGAGAATAAAAAACAGGGATATGATACAGAATTTACTGGTCTTGACTGCATTTCCCTGAAAGATCCCGTCAGATTGGCCCCCGAAGAGTTTAGCCCTGTCACACATACAGAAACGGGAGCCCTAGAGCAGTTGGTATCTTTGCAGCCACAGGGAGGAATGATCTTTAGTCACACTCCAGGAACTTGGGGTTTTGTCTTATTTCCAGTCTGAGGCAGCAGTGAGCAGCCAGAGAGGAGGCCAGCCCTCCTCTGAGGTGAGAGGAAACCGCAAATGAAGGTTGTAATAAGATCCTTAGGTACAGACGAGCATAGCTTGAAAAACAAATTACTTAGTAGTAAAGAGCAGGGAAGCAAGCCAGGCTGCGCAAGGAACATCTTTTCCCCCTGGTGTGCACCTTCAGTTGATTTAGAGACGTTTCTCAAGGTGTGCTCGTGGCATCAGTGTCACTGATGCACAAAAAAAGCCATTGTCATTTCAGCCACGTTTTGAGAAGTGGTAGGTTGCCAGTCCAAAGGTAGTTTTCAGGTTTCTGTCGGTCCTGTGCCATCTCGATGAAAACTGCTTAAAAGCTACAGTAGGTTGTTGCCACCTTCGATAAGGGAACCATAAGTAAGCGCTAGAGTAGATGGGTCCTGTTTCCCCTTCTTTGTGCTTTAAGCATTATTATCTTGTGCTTCTAACACCTCCCTGTCTCTCACCCCACAGCTGACAACGAGAACAATATTGCCTCTAGCCAGCCCAGATCACCTCTAGCTGTTGTTGAAGAAAAGTGGAAACCGCAGCTCCAAAGAAATAACGCCAACAATAGTACGTAGCAGTGTTTGCTCTCCTTACCTGTCCGCTTCGAACAAGTGACTGTCAGAGAGGGTGAAGCAGCCATGGGCATCGCACAAGGCCCTTGTCCTCGCCCAGCTGCACTTGATTTCACCCGTAATTCATGCACTACCCTGCAGAGCAGAGCACCTGTTCATAGAATCATAAAATCATTCAGGCTGGAAAATCCCCTGGGGATCATCAAGCCCAACCACTAACCCTGCTCTACAAATCCACCCCTGAACCATCTCCCCCAACACCACATCTAAACGACCTTTAAACACTTCCAGGGATGGGGACCCAACCACCTCCCTGGGCAGCCTGTGCCCATGGCTGACTACTTTTTCTGTGAAAAAATTTTCCTGCTACAGGGGTATGCAAAAAGTACTGGGAACCCTGGGGAGTGCGGTTGGAAAGGTTTGCAAGGAAGATGCATTTGGGATCCCCTGGAAAACGTTCTGATCCAAGGCCAGGCTTCCCAGCCTGGCCTTAAAAAACTAGTCCAGTCATCACAGTGTGACATAGCCCTAACCTGTAACTCCCCATGCGGGCAGGCAGCCAGGGTCTGGCTTTGTCCCCAGCTCATCCTATGAGCTTGAGCTTCACCACGGGAAAAGGGTAAAATACAGCCCTGTGGGAACCGAGTTCCCAAGCACTTGAGCTGGACAGCTTGAGGGACGGGTGATACAAAAAACGTGGTGCTTTTCTGTTGTGGTGTGGCCAAAAATGACATTCACCGTGTCCAAAATCAGCCGCAAAAAGTGAGGCTGCTGGAGTTCAGAGCAAGAAATGGAAATTCGGGCTTCAGCGCCGTTTGAGATGGTGGGGAAACTTGTATGCTTCAGGGAAACAACTGTTCTTACAATAACTGTCTCAAAGAAAAGGCTCATATCACAAAACTGTAAAGATGTCCAGCTGATGTAAGCTGTGACCACCAGCCTGTAGACATGGATAGCAAAAACCACATGTGGTTATGGCTTTTCTAGGCAGCTCCTCAATGAGCACCACAAAAATGCCACTGGTTAAGGCACTGGCTTGTGAGGAGAGAGTGTGTGCTCTGTCTCAGTCCCCACGGCAGGGAAAACACGCAATTAAGCTCCTTGCTGCCCTAAGCAAGAGCGAGGCCTGTCCCTGGAGGTTCCTTTGTCCAGAAACCCTTGGGGGAAGAAATCCAGAGTTGGAGATACCTCTTCCATTGTCTGGGTACGTTCCACCTCTTTGGGTCTCCCTGAGAATTGTTTTGTGACTTCCTCCTCTCTCCTGTTGCGGAGGAGCAACACTCACGTGGTGCTTTCTCTCCCTCCTTGTATTTCACTGCAGCATCCGCGCGCGGTTCAGTAGGGAACAGCGCGATCCCAGAGAAGGAGCGGCAGAACATTGCCGAGAGGCTCCTGAGGGTGATGTGCACTGACCTTGGGGCTCTGAGCGTGGTGAGCGGGAAGGAGTTCATCAAGCTAGCACAGACCTTGGTGGATAGCGGAGCTCGCTATGGTGCCTTCTCTGTCACCGAAATCCTTGGCAATTTCAACACGCTGGCTCTGAAGCATTTGCCTCGGATGTACAACCAAGTGAAGGTGAAAGTCACCTGCGCCCTGGGCAGCAACGCGTGCCTCGGCATCGGCGTCACCTGCCACTCGCAGAGCATCGGCGCCGACTCCTGCTACATCCTGACGGCTTACCAGGTGGAAGGCAACCACATCAAGAGTTACGTCCTGGGTATTAAGGGCGTAGACATCCGAGATAATGGTGACTTTATCCACCACTGGGTACAGAACGTGCTCTCGGAGTTCGTGATGTCAGAGATCAGGACGGTGTACGTCACGGACTGCAAAGTCAATTCCTCTGCGTTCTCCAAGGCAGGCATGTGCTTGCGTTGTTCGGCCTGTGCCTTGAACTCGGTAGTGCAGAGCGTGCTCAACAAGCGAACACTACAGGCTCGCAACATGCACGAAGTGATCGAGCTCCTGAATGTCTGCGAAGACCTGGCGGGATCCACGGGCCTCTCGAAGGAGACCTTTGGCTCCCTGGAAGAGACCTCTCCCCCGCCCTGCTGGAACTCGGTCACCGACTCCCTCCTGCTCGTCCACGAGCGCTACGAGCAGATCTGTGAGTTCTACAGCAGGGCCAAGAAGATGAACCTCATCCAAAACCTGAACAAGCACCTGCTCAGCAACCTGGCGGCTATTTTGGCGCCGGTGAAGCAGGCGGTGATTGAGTTGAGCAACGAGAGCCGGCCCACCCTGCAGCTGGTACTGCCCACCTACGTCAAACTGGAGAAACTGTTCACTTCCAAAGCTAACGACGCTGGCGTAGTCAGCAAACTCTGCCACCTCTTCTTGGAGGCGCTGAAGGAGAACTTCAAGGTTCACTCGGCCCACAAGGTAGCCATGATCTTGGACCCTCAGCAGAAGCTGCGACCCGTCCCGCAGTACCAGCACGAAGAGATCATCGGCAAGGTCTGCGAGTTGATCAATGAGGTGAAAGAGTCCTGGGCAGAAGAAACTGAGTTCGAACCCTCAACCAAGAAGCCTCGGGCAGCAGGGGAAGCCACAGCAGCTCAGGAAGAAGATTGGTTCGGGAAAAATGAAGTCTACGATTACTTGCAAGAACCTCTCTTCCAGGCCACCCCTGACCTGTTTCAGTACTGGTCGTGTGTAACCCAAAAGCAAGCATACAAAGCTAGCCAAGCTAGCCTTTTGGCTCTTAGCAGTGCCCGCTGTTGGGGCCAGAAGCGAATGTGTAAATATGTGTGAGCAGGCTCTCTTAATCAAAAGGAGACGGCTACTCAGTCCCGAAGACATGAACAAACTCATGTTTTTGAAGTCCAACATGCTTTAAGACTGTCTTTTAATTAAAACAAAACTTTAAAACACTGTTCCAAACAAAGAAAAAGAATTTTAAGTTCTAAACACTGTGGACCTCATTATGAATGCCCCTGGAAACCAAGTGCTTTTTTATATATATATAAAAATATAAAT